CCTGATTGTGCTCGCCTGTGTCCTATTAAGTCTAGCTTGTCTTGTGTATTTAGTCCGTGTCTAAGTCAGTAGTCCCCAGTTCCGTCATTGTATTGTTTGGATGTGTGTTCCTGTCCGCCTTCCCGCTCCTAATAAAACCCCGTTTGTCCGTATTGACGGCTCGCCCGACCTCGAATCCTGACAGTTTGGTTCTGTCTAACGTTAGTTATGTTTCCTTGTGAACTCTCCTTTGTTCATTGCATGTTTTTGCATTTATAAATATAGTTTAAATTTACTTTGAGTCTATTTTGCTTGTTGAAAATTCATCAGTCACCTTGTTGTTAGGTGTTGTATTATGTTCTAGCTTATATCTGTCTAACATTGTATGCTTTTTACTTACAAATTCTTGGTATTAATGAAGGATGGACCATACTGAACACTATAACTATCAAACTCACTATTTTCCTTCTAAACTCCTTATCTGAGGTTGCTTTAGAGCAGAGACTCTAAAGCAAGGTTCTGTTCAGCTCACAGGAACAGTTACCTAATCTTAAAGAACAATCAGTGTTGAACTGATAGAGGTAAAGTTTTAATATATAAAAAACACAAAAGGCCGTTAGGTCCATATTGGTCAGTCTTTCCCATGATGGTGGGTAAATCTGGGGTGGTTCTTATGGTCCTCATACTGTATGAGTCCTTGAGTACACTTTAAGATGGGGCAGATATGGGCCACCCATTTTTGTTCCTGTGTGCCACCCATACGGGCTTGTAATCAGGGGAGAGATGAAGTCACAGTCATGTAACTGGTGTCAATTTAACACTAAGACTTAAATTTAACACTGTAAGAACAATACTGACTGTACTGCCTGCACTCCAAAATTGTGGTGAGTTAGAAAGTAAGAGAACAACCAGTGTTAACTAGTTTACCTAATGTCAACTTACTTTCAACAGCGGAATCTTTACTTCGGTATAGATGTGTTGGGCCAGGAGGAGTGGGTTATCCTATAGAATATGATATACATCTTTTAAAAACAGCAATATTCCAACCTTTGGATGAGATTAAGAAGCACAAGATATTTCATATCTTGTGAAACACAGTAACTATAATCATGACAACTGGTACATCTGCAATTACTTTCAGGTAAAGCCTTTTGTCCTAATGAAAATGCTGGTGGTGAGTCTCTGGGTTGAAGGACAGGAAACAGTGTTTGTGTATGGCCTGGGGATGGGCCTCTTGTAGGCTTGTCAGAATCTGGAAGAGGTAAATAAAAGATCCCCCATACCATTTTGAATCTAGAGAGATGGTACTGTTTATATAAGTATGATCTAATATTATACAATCTCAATGATGTAAGAATATATTGCACAGAGTATAGAAATAAAAATAAGATAGTAAGAATATATATAAATTAAATTAACCTATAATTTTGTGCAGTGTTCATGCTTGACTTTATGAAACCACACTTTGTGTTTTTACAAATATATTTGTTTTGTAATGCATAATTCATTTAAATAAAATATGATTTCATACCTTTTGAATTATTTGACTTGTGATATGTAAAGGCTGGAGCCTTTGGCAGAGATGACTGCAGTTTTCTTTTTTTCTGCACTGGCTCAATGTTCTCACCTTCATCTGTGATTTCAATATGACATAATGATTTTGGGGCATTGTATTAGCAGCAAATTTGACGTTAAAACAAGTAACATGCAGCATACCATCTGCAGCATTATAATGATCATCCTGGAATCAAGCAGGGGTCTTGGGTACTCTGGGTTTACCCACAGATTGTTCCTCCTGGGAGTCCAGGTTGGAGGTTTCTTCAGCTCTCTTGCTCATTTTGTATGCCTTGTCGTATGATTCTAAGACGAAGACAGTAAAATTCCAGTAGTTGTTTAGAAGATTTTTTTAAATTGTTAATGTCATGTTTTTCAGTAGTTTAAATTACTAAAAAGGCTCTGCAATGTGCTGGCAAAAGCAGGGATGGGCAGTATTTCTGATACATTTGTTTAAAAATTCTTTGTTAAATACTGTATATAAATTACATGACCATGTTATAAAGCAAGTCAAATACAAATTACAAAATACAATTTTGTATTATACAAAATTGTATTTTGTAATTTGCATTTGACTTGCTTTATAAACATGGTCATGTAATTTTTATCTAAATACTTCAGTAATCTAACAATATATTTCTTCACAACTAACTAATATTGTTGTGCATTTATTACATATGACAATGGTAGCACTGTCATGCATTCCAAATATCTTGCTCTATCTGTTGCATCAAAGTCAGAACTTCCTTTGGTGCGCATGGGGCCGACCCGTCAGCATTTGTCTAAGCAAGTGAGCAGCTGAAAACTATATGCACATTTTCAAAATTCTTTCAATAATGAGGTTTGGGGGGGGGGCCCGATCAGGATGGCCCG